TCAGGTAATACAGCCTCCTTCACAGGAGATTCTGCCCTATCTTCCTCGTCAAGTACTACAGCGTCCTTCTCGGGATATTCTGCCCTCTCTTCTTGTTCAGTTACTACAGCCTCCTTCTCATGAGATTCGGCCCTCTCTTTCTCGTCAGGTACTACAGGCTCCTTCTCAGGAGATTCTGCCCTCTCTTTCTCGTCAGGTACTACAGCCTCCTTCTCATGAGATTCTGCCCTCTCTTCCTCTTCAGCTACTACANCTGCCCTATCTTCCTCTTTAGGTACTACAACCTCTTTCTCAGGAGATTCTGCCCTCTCTTCCTCGTCAGGTACTACAGGCTCCTTCTCCGGAGATTCTGCCCTCTCTTCTTGTTCAGTTACTACAACCTCTTTCTCAGGAGATTCTGCCCTCTCTTCCTCGTCAGGTACTACAGCCTCCTTCTCCGGAGATTCTGCCCTCCTTTCCTTTTCAGGTACTACAGCTTCTTTCTCAGGAGATTCTGGCCTCTCTTCCTCGTCAGGTACTACAGGCTCCTTCTCCGGAGATTCTGCCCTCCTTTCCTTTTCAGGTACTACAGCTTCTTTCTCAGGAGATTCTGCCCTTTCTTCCTGTTCAGGTACTACAGCCTCCTTCAGATGAGATTCTACCATCTGCTCGGCTACTGGGACTGGAACGTATCCAATGAATGGTTGTGTACTCACTTGCAACATTGGTGTGATAATTACCCTGTCAGGGGATGATTCTCTTTCTTTCATTGGAGATTCTGCCCTCTCTTCTTCTTCTTCAGCTAATACAGCCTCCTCGGGAGATTCGTCCCTCTCTTCTTCAGCAACCACAGCCTCATTCTCAGGAGCCTCTGCTCTCTCTTCATCGTCAGGTACTACAGCATCCTTCCCAGCAGATTCTGCACTCTCTTCTTCTTCAGGTACTACAGCCTCTTTCTCAGGAGATTCTGCCCTCTCTTCCTCTTCAGCTACTACAGCCTCTTTCTTAGGAGATTCTGCCATTGCTTCCGTTTCAGGTACTACAGCCTTCTTCCCAGGAGATTCTGCCCTCTCTTCCTCTACAGGTACTACAGCCTCCTTCTCATGAGATTCTGCCCTCTCCCTCTCTTCAGGCACTACGGCTTCCTTTTCAGGAAATTCTACCCTATCTTCTTGTTCAGGTACTACGGCCTCCTCAGATTCTATCTTTTCTTCCTCTTCAGATACTGCTGCCTCCTTCTCCTGAGATTCTGCCCTCTCCGCCTGGTCAGGTACTACAGCCTCCTTCTTAGGAGATTCTGCCCGCTCTTCCTCTTCAGGTGCTACAGCCTCCTTCTCAGGAGATTCTGCCCTCTTTTCCTTCTCAGGTACCACAGCCTCCTTCGCAGGAGATTCTGCCCTCTCTTCATCTTCAGCTACTACAGCCTCCTTCTCAGGAGATTTTGTCCTCTCTTCCCGTTCAGGTACCACAGCCTCCTTCTCAGGATATTCTGCCCTCTCTTCTTGTTCAGTTACTACAGCTTCCTTCTCAGGCGATTCTGCCCTCTCTTCCTCTTCAGGTACTACAGCCTCCTTCTCAAGAGATTCTGCCTTCTCCCTTTCTTCAGGCACTACGGTCTCCTTGTCAGGAGATTCTACCGTCTCTTCTTGTTCAGGTACCACAGCCTCCTTAAATTCTATCTTTTCTTCCTCTTCACGTACTGCTGCCTTCTTTTCAGAAGATTCTGCCAACTCTTCCTTTTCAGGGACTCCAGGCACCTTCTCAGATTCTATCCTGTCTTCCTCTTCCGGTACTACATCCACCCTCTCAAGAGATTCTGCCCTCTCTTCTTGTTCAGGTACTATAGGCTCCTTAAGAGATTCTATCAATTCCTCCTCTTCAGGTACTACATCCACCTTCTCAGGAGATTCTGCCCTCTCTTCTTTGTCAGGTACTATAGGCTCCTTAAGAGATTCTATCAAACTCAACCCCACATATGTCAGGTAATCTATCCGACAGCCTACCACCTCAAGGCCACATCTGCCTCGGTCTTCCGTTCAGTGTAACTGAACAATTTGGCACGCCTTCTCAGGAGATTCGCCGTTCCTTGTTCCCAACATCTTTATATCAGCTCCTCACCAGTGAGTCTGCTCTCTTTCTTCACAGAAACCGACTAAGGGTTTCTCATTCAAGAAACTCTGCTCGCTCCTTCCTACAGGTTCAAGGCATCTCTTCGTGGAGAGACGTGCTGTCCTGTTCCTGCCTTTCTCGACAAGAACTCGAGATTGTCTTTCCTTAGCATTCTATACTTTTCCTTCCGTGATGTGGACATCCGCATATTTCGGCTAGATGCTACGATAGCTTACCGGAACTGAATATACGACCCACGAATGGGGTAACACAGCTGGCTGCTGTTTTGGGGGAAAATACAAACAAAACACCTTCGGTGGCCCGTTCTATGATCGTGATATCTCAACTACTAATCCCCAACCTATCACCCAATACTCGTGGTTTTATAACTGGTCACTAATTAACTGCCCCGACATGAGCTTCGCTAATGGACTCCATGACGAACGACCACCGACCATCGGTATTTTACACACTCTGGTCTGTTAGTCACTTGTGGCCCGCCAAATGTAATACAGACAATGGGTGTAAAATACTGAAGTGTTCAGTATTCCAGTATTTGCTGCTTACCAAGGGCTAGCCGAAACACCTAGCCGCTTCATCATACCCAGCACAGGGCGTATAAACTGATTTTTTTCGTTGTTCGGGTCCAGGAAATCACTAATACTCACTAGAGATTCTCGTTGATCAAAAAACATACAGCCACAAAAGAAGAATGCGTAATCGCGAAAATCATTGAATTTATTATATGCAGTCTCTGTACAGACTTGGTTGTCTGAAAATACTAGACGATATTGTGATTGCTCCTTCCTGACCCTCGAGGACCTACCTCTCTGTGCTTCTTATAAACCCAATTCAAAAACCACACCTGAGGAGATAAAGTTCTTCGGATCGACCCGTTTTTGAGGAATGACGAAATGCATAAATCGACGCAGCGATTTCTTTGAGAGATATGCAATAGACATTCTTAAAGGGCCTGTATCAGCACACGCGCAAAGCAGAGATTAACAGTTGGAATGCAACACTATTAGGCGGTAACACACTACATCTTGGGTATATAACTTTCGCAGAACTACTATTGCATCACACAGTCGGAGATGTGGTCGGCTGATGCTTAAAACAGTTCTCTTTCGTGTAGGTCGCACAGACCCCGCCACATCAGTTCTGTCCTAACTGTAGTCTATCCACCATTCCCCCACAGCTTAAACGCGTGATCCCACCATCATACGACAAGACTCTTGGTGTACACTTAATAAAGCCCGATCGCAATTGGCGTCAATGATAATGTCCATGGGTCAGATATGTCACACGTACCCGCCATTACTTTAGGGGCGAGTATATATCGACGTGCCACGGTGATCTCGTATGAATAACCTTTCACTTATAACAATTCACGAATGCTATTGACTTACATTGTTCTTTTGCAAGACGGTAGACCATGGTCATATTATATCGATTCTCGCCAAGTCGGCGAGAACCTAGACGACCAATTACTCAGCACCTTTCCTCTTCAGGTACATGACAAGCTTCTTCAAACTCAGTTTGCACCTCACTTTCCTATCATCCGCCTCTTCAGCGAGCATTTGGAGAACATAAAATCCTCATTCGATGCGCATCGTGTGTATAACTATTATAATAATGGTGCACAGCCAAGAGTAACACGCCAGTATAGCCTGT